ACGCCTAATGTGGTCCAGGGTTCAATCCCCGGCCACAGACGCACTCCTCCTTTACCTCGTTAAGCCAGTTATAAGACTGGTAAAGAAGGAAGGTTGGGGGGCATGAGGCTGGCAACCCCATCTGGTAAAAATAAACACCACTGTTACCGAAACTTCAAGCTTGCAGCTCGAAGCCCTATGTTCCACTTGGAATGTAATGGAATTATGGCGTTTACTTATCCTATGCACTAAAACATATTATATTATATATTAGCTTGAAAGCTTGACACCGAGTATCGATTTTACACTTCAACGATATATATAATTGATTTGTTTAAATCAATACGAAATGGCGGGAAATTTAAAGATTTAAACAATCGAATGATTGAAAATAGAAAGGCCATCAAACGATGCCTATAAATAGTAAATAAAGCAACCTAAGAGATAATTAAATAAAAAAATAATTTAAAAAAAATTATAAAAATATATATATATTCTTAAAACTTGATATGTTTTTCATAATTAAAATTCAGGGGTATATTTTGAGAAAATAGAAAACAATTAAGTCAAAATGAGAACATAGATTACTTGAAGAAAATCAATGAAAGAAAAAGAATAATAATTAGTAATAATTAATGATACTAATGATAAAGCTTATAGTCAATTTGATTAAATCATTTCATCGACTTAAAGGCGATGATGTTTGTGAATAAGCAAGCGTATCCGTGCAGTCATGCACACACACACACACACACGCTGAAACACAAACAAGGATGTCGTCGTCAGCGTATATTTCTCTCTCTCTGTCTCTGTTTCTCTCGTCATGTATCGTGTATATTGTTGTTGCTTTGTTCTTCACGTTTCTCTTCTCGCTGTTTCTCTCTCTCTCGTGCACTCACTCACTCACTCACTCACACATACAACACAGCACTTAAGTGCACAATTATTATTAGATAAAGAGGCTTCTCAAACAAGAAATCAATAAATAATAAACTCTCTTTTCTTCAGTGATAAACTCATATATGATCATCATAACATTAATAATATTATTAGTAGTAATAATAATTCTGACATGTATTAGCTATTTATTTATCAAGTGAAAATATTTAAAGCGTCCAAATTTTTATTTTTGGTTGTGTGTGTGTGCGTGTGTGTGTGATAAATTTGTTTGAAAAGTGATTTCATTTCAATATTCAATGTGTTCAATATTCATCAATTAGTTAGTGAGTTAGTTGGTTAGTTTAGGTCAACAGAAGTTATTGAATTTTGGATACAATTAGACGATTGAAAAATCATTATTATTATTATTATTTATTGTATCCTTTAATTCATACAGGAACATAGGGCTTCAGCCGTGCGTCTCCATTGCGTTCGGTCCTCTGCTACAGTCTTCACCTGGCTCCAATTCTGCCCACACACCTTCATCTCCTCTTCACAT